GTCTCCCGGTGTACTACCCAATCACCACCTGAAGGACCTCACTGGAAATAAGTCTTCTTCACACTTTCGTAAGTTATCCTTGGTGTGTACACCGAATAAACCCAATCCAATCATCATCATATTATCATCATCATCATTAAATCATCAACAATATCATCATAACCACGGTCATCGTCGCCATCAACATCATCATCATAATCATCACAAATATCATCATAACCACCACCATCATCATCATTACCATCATTCTGATCATCATCATCATCATCACCATCACTATCATAATTCTCATCATCATAAAAGAATTGCGCTTTAGAAAATTGTTTTTGATACTTCTCCAGATGGCGTTTATTACGGAATTGAAATTGAAAAATCTACGGAAAAGACTACAATTTTCTAAGCGTGTAGTAAACAAAAACATTTAAAAAAACTATAAAAAATATATAAAATACCTATAATTTATATCAGCATAACGATCAATCAATACACAATTTAAAACGCCAATAAACAAATTTAGACACCGTTAAAAAGAAAAATAACACTGCAATGGGTATTAATTTATAAACAAAATATACATACATACATCCTATTTAAATAAAAAAAATATTACTGTCCAATTTGAATTTAATACATTAATCATGCAATATGTTTTCCTGTCAATCCTGTCAATCATGCAATATGTCTTTTTGTCAATTTGAATTTCACCCGTCCTGGATTTCATCCACCTCCTCATTATTGTTATCGCTTCCTTTATAGCTCCAGGGATAATACATCTACGTTATGCTTCTCTAATGCATCGTTCATTTAATATGTACAAGATTCCTAGATATCATCCACCTCATTATTGTTATCCTAAGATATTATTAACTTATCTTAGTGAATTTGTCTTGTCTTTTATTTATTTATTTTTTTTTTGGGCGAGATCTGTTTTAAAGATGGGGGAACATTTCGTGATACCACAGCCACTTCAGCCCAACCATGGTTGGGGCTGAGGTGTGAACATTTGAGGAAATGTACCTCTAGATAGCCGGAAATGACTCTCTTATATAGTAAAATTAATCATCACCATACAGAGATCTAATTAATATGGTGTGATATACAGTACCATAGAAAATAAAACTTTAAAAAATTGCCTTTGATGTATTTACTGTACATTACTTTACCCTACATCAAAACCGTAAGTCCACACCCATCCCAGCCCCACTATGGTTGAGAATAGATGCGAAAATTTGAGGAAGTAGTACCTCAAGCTGGCCGGAAATAACACTCTTAAGGCCTGTTTATACTTCAACGATAACGATTAAAAAAAAAGCTAAAAAGCAATTGTTCATATAGAAAATAAAAGAAATAAGAGAAGTTTTTACACTAGAACGATTCGATAAAGATTGATCAGTTACGGTATGCGATAACAACATATTTTGACAAATCAAATCAGATGACGTCATAATCATGGAAAACATTAAAATCGTAGTAGTTGCAACGATTTTATCGTTTTTCCATGATTATGACGTTATATGATTTAATTTGTTAAAATATTTTGTTATCGTATACACGATAAATCGTAATATCGAATCGTCCTAGTGTAAAAACTTCTGTTATTTCTTTTGTTTTCTATATAAACAATCGCTTTTTAGCTTATTTATCGTTATAGTTATCGTTGAAGTATAAACAGACCTTTATAGTACCGGTAAGTCATCATTATAACATCACCATGATCTTTTAACAGCAATTTTTTTCTATCATAGAGATCTAATTAATCTGTATTGTACCATAGAAAATATAACTTAATTGTCTTTGATGTATTTACTTTAATCTACCTACCTAACTTCGTGTGCCGAAAATACTTTTTCTTATACTTCACAAATTATAACTCAAGCACACACACTCGAGTCGTGCACTAGGTAGTGATACGGGTATCTGCTATAATATACGTACAGTACTCAAGCTGTACAGCATTTTTGTTTTTTTGTTTTGTTTTGTTTTGTTTTTTTAAACCTGAGTCATGTATGCAGTTCATCAACAACTTTCAGGCATCATCTTTACTTATGAAATTACGGTACATTGCGGTTGATACGTGGGGGACCCAATCCCCCTCAAAAATATGTGGGGTCGTCGTGTTCCCCGTCCAACAGGATTATTTAATTGTTGTTTACATAATATTCATGCACTACCGTAAATGCTCAATCTCCAATCGAGAGTATTGGTATAAATTTGATTTATTTCGCATTCAGTGCCACACATTACAATACAATTAAGAGAAAATACATACAGATATAATAGAGAAAAAAATTAATTGAATATACCTGGATAACCCACCAGACATATTTCCAATGGGATCAATAAGCCAGGGGAATTATTGCTCAGAAGTGAATATTTACAAATAGTTAGTGAACGGCAACGTTAAGAAAATATAGTGAAATATGAAAAATACGTTAGGCATAAATAAATTTAAATATATTAGGCGTAAATAAATTTACAGGGTTCTAGATAAAATACTGTAAATGCTCGAATAAATACCACAGCGCTTATACAATTTTTGGAGGCGGCTTCAGTGCGGGACTTCTTCGAGAACGATGCTTTCAAGAGTGGCGCTTATAGAGCATTCCATAAGGGTTGGGGAGTAGCACAGGGTACCATCGAGCCCACAGCAGTATTTAATCTGGTGACCAGGAACAAATTGCTTGTAAGGCTATCCCAATCGCTAAGCAAAGTGAAAATCAGGGAGGTAGCTGGCCTTATTTGTGTGTCGGAAGCACACGATAAAATATCTAATTTGAATATTTTTATAATCTATTTTTTGACATAATTTTTAAAAGTAAAACGAACTTAAGATAATATTCGTTAATAATCATTAATAGTAATTCAAATAGAAATTATAAATACTGTAATATTATGCGTTATTCGCTGAGGCTGGAGGTCCGTTACCGGATCATTTATTTCCAGGTCTTAAAGATCCGGTACCGGATTTGTTGTTTTCGGGCGTCCATTTCCGGTACCGGATCCGTTGTTTTCAGACCTTAAAGTTCCGGTACCGGACTCGTTGTTCTCGGGACGTTAAGCTCCGGTACCGGACCCCCAGCCACAGCGTACTTTATTTATTTCAAGTTTCAAGCTCTGAAGGCTACATCGTGTCGAAAATTAAGATTACTGTATATTTTTTATTTATATTTCATTTTACTGATATTTTATGGATCTGTGTATATTAATTGTACACGCCAATGGAAAAGCAAATACTGTTTATAATCTCTATTGATACCCTTGAACAATTAATATTATTTATTCTAATAATCTGAACTAAAAGTGTTATTGTGGCCATTTTCACCTAATATCCTGGATGCACCCACCTGTGTATAGCTAAAATTCCAGAGAACCACGTGACGTGACGGATATGGTGGACAAGCTGTATGTTAGCAAAAAGACGTCATCATTTTTTTTTTTATGATTATAGATTATATTCGTGATGTACCGTACGTATCAACAAGACGAGGTAGCCCTAAGTATTGCATATGTTTTAAACTATTCTACAACAATTGCAATTTGTATTTTTTTTAGTTCCGTTCTCATACAATACGAGTCAATTTCTTTGTAGGTGTGCATGGCAGAGTGGAAATAGACTCGAACGAACCGCGGCTTGTTTCGAAAAGGATTTTTGTTGTGATGAGGTAGGCCTATGCAGTTTTATAAAGTAATTTGCAAAAGCATGTTAGACCAATAAATATTTTCTTATTTTTTATAGTGAAAGGATAGTACGTGCTTCAGCGTTCTTGAGGCTATTTTCACTAAATATTCTGGACGTACCACCTGTAGACATTGCAATGCCAGAGTGACCACGTGAAATAACGGCGGACATGGTCGATAGGCTGTATTCTAGCAGAAACCGCCATAACTTTCTGTGTTCATAGGGTATTTTCCGTATATATCAACAAAACTATTAAGGCAAGTACTGTAATATCAAATATTTGTAACTTGAAAGTTTATTTAAATGACCGTTACGCCAACAATATGAGTTAGTTTCTTAGTCCAGTCATGGAGGTATACCTCCATGGTCCAGTAGTGTGTGTGTGTGTGCATGTCTAAATATTCTCGGCTTGGATGGGAAATTTCGATAAGAACAGTTGTGATTATATTGGACCGCTTGTCAATTTCTTTCCAGGGACACATTAAATAACACATTATTGTATGAATTTTAGTTATCGGAACACAGAAATATGTGTTTCTAGTGTTCATTTTCATCCTCCATTGTTTCCATTTCATAATTATCTTCTTTTCATTTCCCTGTTCTTATTTTGTTATCTTTCTCATATTTGTATATTGGGCCTATTGTCCTCATTTTTAAAAATACTTTTCCTGCTTCTCATCTCATTTATTGTTCTATTATTTTCCTGTCTTGCTCCTCTTTTAGTTTTGTTTGGTTCCTCATCTCCTCATCTTGGGCTCTGTTTTCTCATTATCATTGTATTTTAAAGGGTGACGTCAGGATTTGCCCACAGGGGTCCGTTGTTCCCATCTGTCATCGATAATCCAATAATAGTTAGCTAGTACAGCCATCAATTATTTGTTTATGGTGTTGTATCAGTTGAGTTTAAAGTGCTTCTAGAAAATACAATTTGGTTCATCAAAATTGACCTGCTAGATAAAAAGTTAAATCAAATATAAATGTAAGATATATTTGTAAGAAGACATGAGATTTGTTTTTCACAAAAATTTAGAAACACATCTAAAGGTAGGACAAAACATCATTCGAATTAAATTTCCTTACGCAAACGCTATCGGTACATACAGGCATGTAGTTATGGTGGGCGGGGCCACCCAGCCTTAAAAACTTTCATCCAGTCTAAAGCTAATTTCATGGCAATCCACCCACTTTTATAAACCCAATTTTCCATCCTTAAGATCCACTCTTATTATTTAGAGTTTACCAATGTTGTCACCCACCCACCCTTAAAATGTCTGTCACCCACCCTTAGTTTTCTACAGCTACAACCCTGGTATAGTACTCATGGCCGCTTAGAGCCGCCGCTGGCCCCCAGGGCATCTTGGCTGCCCGGGTCCATTAGGGTAGGGTAGATTAACACTTTTATATTGCACTCTGTGACAAAAGCACAAAACTTGGCAGAAACCTTCTTTTGGATCCAAATAACAATCTAAAAAGGGGTGCGCAAAAATCCAAACAACCCTTTTATATACATTATGTAAAATGTATGTGAAATTTGTCAAATTTGATATTAAATTAAAGCTCATGACATGGACCATGGAGGAATTAGTTTAAACTAAACTAATTCCTCCATGCATAGACATCGCCATAAAGATGATTACAATGCACTGTCTTTCTTTAGTAGTTGTCAGAAATCCGAACAATTCAATGACGTCATTTAGGCCACGCCCATTTTGTTGTATATACCATTTAAGTATGTAAAAATAAAGGGTTCATATAAGCATACCAAGTTTGGTATCAAATTATAGCTCTTAACGTCCAATGCAAACGTATTTAGTCATTTTTCTTCTGAGGCTATATATACAGGTAGGTCACTAAAGTCACAAGGAAGCCATCTGGAATGGTCAACTAGACTTACTCATTTGAATTTCTACACCTTACTCTTGTAATGTTTGTGATCATTCTTCAGTTTTTGAGGTATTAGGAAAGGGACGTTAGCACTTAAGATGACCCCCAACTTCATACCTGAATATAGATCGTCACAAAAATGTATTAATTTCTTCCTTGTAACTTAATTACACTTTCCAGTAGATTTCATTCAGATCATTTAATCCATTTTTTAAATATCATATCATATATCATTGATTTCACCAGTAAAAGCAACGCAAAGTTACTGTCACTGGCAGTCCAGGAAGCACATAAAATACAAAAATGAATAGGCCTAATACATTCTAGTATAAAAATTGATAAATAAACCATCTCTTAAAAGAAGAAAAAAAAAATTGAAATCTAAACGTTACTAAAGTAAGAACTTACAGTGCATATCCACCACCATATAGTTATCGGATCATCATCGTTAATCGTTAAATTGGTCCCGCATCCACACACCACAAAGACAAGTTAAACCAGTCACTCGTCGCAATAGCCGAAATATGCTGGAATGTCAACATTTTTTAAATCTGTTTATTCCACTAAACTAACCTTTACATATCTATATATCATGCTATGCTATTATTTTCTCCATTTTCAATGTTAAAACAACAATTGTTAATGATTTGATGATTGTTTCTTCAGGGAGGTAATAATTGTATACTGATCCCTGGTTTCTCTCTTTCAATAGGTTCATTAAAATAATTTTTAATCACGTTAAAGTCTGCGAGTGCCATTTCCGGTGCTATAATCATAATGGTCTTACCTCAGCCCCAACCATGTTGGGGCCGAGTTCTTATAGACCCCAAGTGGCGGATTCAAAGGCAACCGAGCAGCCCCCCCCCCCCAGTCCAAATTTTTGAAAGTTATTAAAGAATAATAGAGAAAAATAAACATAAGTAAGTTTTTTATTCTTTGTTTTGCGTACTTATTGTTTAAAGATTATCAGGGGATGGCGGAATAAAATTAAAAATACAATTTTGTTTTCTTATTTAGCAAATATTTTTTGCAAAAAACGTCCAGACGGAGGAGAAAATAAAAATAAAATTTTATTGGTGAATGTAATGATAATAATGTTATAATAATTTATATAATTAGGAAGAAAAATACATATCTTATATTTGGAGATTTCAAGACAGCGGCGGAGGGCGTAATAAAAATAAAGAAGAAATTTTATTTTTTTCTGAAATACTTCCACTTTTTCGTGGCGGCGGGTGCGCTAATTGGCCAAAAATGAAATTTTATTTTTATTCGAAATCATCAATATTTGCAGTCGGCGGGTTCGCTAAACAGGGTATAAAAAAGTCCCGCCTTATAATGAAATTTGAGTCTTATAGTAATTTTTCCGGTCATCTAGAAGTGCATAATCATATGTTTTCTTTCCTCAACCTCAACCATGGTTGGGCTGGCTGAGGTGGGTGGACCCGGGAGGGGTGGCACTAGCAGGGGTCCAGAGGTAATAGGACCCCCCCCCTCCCTTCTTGGGAACTATGGGCCCCGCTTAGACACCCTGTCCGGGAATTTTCAGCAGGTTTGTCGGGGAAAATGAAATCTCCAGCACGAGAGTACAATTTAAGCATACATAACTAAGCTGTACAATTTTAGGGGTTGAAAATTGTTTAGTGAGAGCAGTGCTACCAAATGTGTGAGGTGTTGTATACTATTAACTTGCATGGTTTTCTATTAAATTATCATTTTTAAGTAAAAAAACCAATAATTAACATTTTATTATTTTTTAATAACAAAATTCCTAGGTTTGGCTAGGTTGTCCCGGCAGGGACGGAGTGGACCCCCTGCCGGGGAGCTTGGACACCCCGTCGGGGAATTCCTGGCGCCGCCCCTGCCTAGGAATTTATTTTTGTAGAAGTCCCTCCCTAGACCCTATTGTGCTATTATTAATTATTGAATCGTTAATTCTGATAGGTACTTAAGAGACCAGTTCCCAGTTACCTATCAGTCTCTTATTTGAGTTAAATAAAATTATGTATTGTGAATTATGAAAGATCCCCCTCTATTTCGAATTTATGAACCCGCCTCGGCCCGCATATGTTGAAGTCCCTCCCTTCCCCCTCTTACAATTCCTGGATCCGCCACTATTTGCAAGTCGCGAATGTGCAAGCGGTTTACGTGCACTTCTAGATCTGTCTCTTATCCACATCTAGATGTGTAAAAGAGACAGGTTTATAACATAGCATTTATATTTATAGTAACAATTTAGTATTTTCAGTGTCCAATAATATTATAGGCTGTTTTCATAGTGCACTATAGACCTACATTATTTCGTTTGCCTTTACATTCAATTAATAATGTTTTATATTGTGCTTGTGTTTTCCACAATGTTTTCAATTAAATTGATTTAATTTTGTAGTCGAGTTTCCTTAACATATCAATGTTGCTATATTCATCGTTAGGCCTATCAAAAATAAAAACACTGAATAATGTTTGCTCTCAAACCAGTGGCAGATTCGGGGGATTGGCCCGGGCAATCCTCATAAATAAAAAACAAAATTGTATTCAAATTTTAAGTTTTAAAGTGGCATTCCGGCCGCCTAGGGACGTCATAATAAACATTTTTTCCTACCATGGTGGGGCTAAGGTAATATAGACCCTCCCTCCCCCCCTCCATTTCCTAGACTGGCACTGAAAAAATGTTTACTACTGTTCATATTCCATCTTCAAAATCTATTAAGAGCTCAAAATATCAAGGACGACTGAGCGTGGGGCTCCGTCTACTCGACCCCAGAAGGGCTATGTCCTTTGGGGCCCCATTGTGGTCCACTTTCCACAAATTAAAAAAAAAACCCCGCGTACAGGCCTGCTTATTCCTAATGTGTCCTTGTTTTTCTTTCACTTCATCATTGTCTTTTGTCATCCTTTCTTCATTTCTAGTTCACACATCGATATCGTCTGAATTCCTTTTCCCACCTTTTTTCCCTTTCATTCTCCTGTTTAAATGCACTTCTTTGTCTCTTGTTCTCTCTAACAGATCCTAAAAATCTAATAAAGCCACCCTGAATTTAATTTCATATAATAAATGGGTCAATCAATTGGATTGGATTTATTTGGTGAAAACACCAAGGATAGTCTAGAAAAAGACTTGCTTCCAGTAGGGTCTTTCTGTGGTGATTGGGCAGTACACCAGGAAACAATCCCGTACTCTTTTCCAAAGAGTGTACTGCGTTTTTTAACGTGCAATATGACCCATCAATGCACATGGGACCAACGACTTAAAACGTCTCATCCTGAAAGACGGTGTGAATTGTAACTTGTATTTCAGCCCTCCAGAAACACAAGGAGAGGCAGATTAGCCGACTGAGCTAAGCTCCTCTATCATTCCGGCTCAAATCAACCACCATGCCCATGTGACCCCTCCCCCTTTGATTTTCCTGACAAAAATTATAAAAATACCATCGTAAAAAAATAGTTTTTAACTCTGAAGGAATTGAGAAACTAAGTTTAAACTTTATACTTATAATATGATGACAATCTCTTATTCCCGTTCGTTTGGACAATAAAGAAATTTGTATGTTATATAATGATGATGTATCTGTGTACTGGTATAAATTTCATAATCAATATTAAGTGTCCACAGGGTCATCCGGTCGGTCAAAGTATGTATTTTTAGGGTCTCTGGTCCTGCAACCATGTTCGGGACCCCATCATATTAATACTTTCATTATTACATTGCAAACTTTTATATAGGCCTATATACTGTAGCAGTATAGGCCTATTCATCACATGTTTTATTTTAGCTTTCTTAAAGCAGGGGTGGGCATAAAAATCTGTCGGATGGCCAAAGTGAATTTTTGATTTAACACCGAGGGCCGCACCCAAATGTTTCCAGTGAGCTTCCAAAAACCTCCAAGCACTGCTTGTACATCACTTTATTCTCAGTTTTAATGTTACTATTTACATATGATTGGTGTCGGGCCGTAAAAAACAAGGTGTTTTCTAGACAATATTTTGATTGGCGGCCCGCAAACATAGGGTTTTTAATTCATTGTAGCGGGCCGCAAACAAATCGCTGACGGGCCACATGCGGCCCGCGTGCAGCACTTTGCCCATTTGTGCTTTAAAGAATAAGATACGGCCCTCCGAAAAATCGAAAATCTATTTTCGCACAATGCTTTGGTAGATATTAGGGGAATATAATATTCTAAAAAAATATGCTACCCAAATTTGAATGGTGTTTCTTGAAATAGGGGCCAGATTTCAGTCTATGTAGCAATATTCAACTTTTTATCTTTGTGAAAGTGGGTGTGGTACCGCAATTTCAAAAGGTCATAACTGAAATACCGCTTGGAAATTGAAGCTGAAATTTTGGATTCTTCCTTTTGAAATACCAAGGAATTTTTAATTTTTGGCTGATCGGAGCTGGAATTACGAAATAATAATAATGTTATATTTATATAGCGCATATTGCACATTGCTCCTATGCGCTTTACAGAGAAATAATATAGGCCAACTGAGAAAAAGCAAATAACAATAAAATAGTAACAATAAAATAAAATAAAAATAATCATAATAACAATAACAATGAGACTAAACTACTCCTATTCCTTAAACTAATTAATGGTTGGCCGTTGACTCCGAGCGGTTGAAATATATGATAACAATAATTATCTTATTATTAGGGCCTCTTTACGGCAGCTAGGTAGTTACGGACCACGCCCATACGTAATTCAGCACAATGACGCTGCAAGTTATGGGTTATTCTCCTACATTTACCCCATTAACATTACTATTAATAAGTTATTGCAATCAAAATGATTGTTTTCGATCCTCTTTTTATTTGATGGTAACGTTACATGATGGCGTGAATATCTAAGGCAATCGTAGCAATCAACTGAATGTAAGCGATTGTACAAATATAGATCTGAAAAAAAACAGTCTACATTTTTATCAATTCTTGACAAGTAGTTCTACAATTTACAGTGATGAATTCAGGAATGAAAAACATGGGGCCCCCAGGGGGAATTTCACAGATAGAATCTACACCATCTCAGCCCACCATGGATGGGACTGAGACAAGAATATTTTTGAATATGGCACTTGTAGATGGCAGGAAATGGCACTCTCGGACATAAATTTAGTTAAAATTTTTCCCTTTTGTCCATTTTACTTATAATTTTGAAAAAATTAGGGCCCCTGGCCGGCTTTACCCCCTCCCTACACCTCTTGAATCCGCCACTGATTTTATCACCACCAGTCAAACTCTAATCTTGAATATCTACTCATTTACTTTCTTGCCCCTTCGTATTGGTCTTGATTTTTCTCTTCTGATAGCCTAAGTGTAATTAAGATATTTGTTAGAATTTTTTTTGATGATCCGAAATATTTGAAATAAATATGTTACTTGCCTTTTATTCTCGAGCTTTCGCTGGTTTTTGACAGCTTAATCATGAGCGAGTCTATGCACCTTTGAAACAATTTCGCGAAATCTCGCTGTCGGTGTAGCGCCGCCTATTGACCATTCGGGTTTTTACCTGAATGGGATTGTTGGGGGGGGGGGTAGTATGTTGTTATAGATTTCACGAAAATTTAATTTTGATTCATTTTTTTTGGTTATATTTCTTAGTTTCTTTTGATTTTTGGTTTCTGTAAATTTTTGTATTGGCCTAGCAGGATAACAACTGTTAGTTGTGTCATCTATGTTTTAAATAAAGCTTATTATTATGTGATATTCAGCTTCTCATATTTGCCTTATCATCGCTATATTGTGTCTGAATATATGGGTGCATGCAAGCATGGGTTAGAATATTCTTGTAATAGCAGATTTCCATTCTCTGTCAGCAATCGTTAAATTAATAATCTCCTATTTAGCCCCAGTCTTTTTTTGCAACAAATATTTAAAATAAAGACAATTGGAAACCATTTTTGAAAGTCCTAAAGTGCTGTCCAGACATACAATAGTTACCGAATATACTCGCGTATAATATAGGCTTAAACTAACAAAAACTTATATGCGGGACATACAAATGTTAGATTTGATTTTGTTTGTTCCCTGAAAATGATAACAAAATAATACACTATAACTTGCTCATTTTGCAGTAATATAACAATTATTAACTTGACAATGTGTACCCTGATTTTTATAACACACAAATAATAAAAATAATAAAAAACTTCCAGTGGTTGAAGTCTTTCTATCATTTCCGCTGTAAAGATTTTTTTTATAGATCAACTAATTTCTGTAAGTACCAAAATTGATTTTACATTTTGGTATTTTTCATGTGACAATACATCTTTAAATATCACCACTTAACATTTTCTTTAGTTTAACATGTTTTTTTAAAATTTTGTTTCCTTTTTTTTTTCTACCTTGTTTAGCAAATCCACAGTACACTCTTAGGGTACTCTAAGAGTAGGGGATTGTCTCCTAGTGTACTGCCCAAGCACCAGCAAAAGGACCCCACTAGAATTGAATTTAAATAATTGTCATTTTACTGTTTTTCTTGTATTGTGGGCCTATGTGTTTATACTATACTGTGCTTTAGTGTACCGGTATGAATGTACTGTGTTGTTTATATGTTTTTATTGTGAACGCACCACTCGATAGTGTGTGCCACTGATATAAAAGTGTAAGATTCAATAAAGTTAATATTATTATTATTATTATTATTATTATAATTATTATTATTATTATTATTATTATTATTATTATTATTGTATCAAGTCTTTTTCTAGACTTCCGTGGGCTATCCTTATTGTCATTAAATAAATGCAATTCAATCCGAATAAAAATAAAATTTTAGAAAAAAAAAGTTTTCCATTTTATTATGCCCATCGCTGCCTTGAAATCCGCAAAATTAATATACGTATTTTTCTTCACAATTATATAAATTTAAAGCATTTAAACCATCCCATTTAAACTACAGTGTTTACATTCACCAACACAAATTTATTTTTGTTTTCTCCTCCATCTGGATTTTTTTGGGAAACAAGTCACTAGAATCTTCTGAATGATATCATTACTTCATTCCTTAAAATTAAAAAAATTATCATTGTCTCTCTACCTGCTCTTTCTTTTTTTTTTCAGACGCAGCAACAGAACATGATCCATGCTACAAGACATGAAAAGTATATAGAGGTTTTGTGAACATTTTCCTGAATAGTGTGATAGCATAATCCTGCAGCATACAGTCAAATTGTAACGTGTCAAAGTATATGGAATCATCTGGCTGTTTGACAAGGGTGCATATTGATGGGGCAATACAATACTCAAAGTATTGTAATGCACGCCATCGTGTTGGAATTCAATATTTCAACATTATGTCATTCATCATTCCTCATGTCGAAATGTCAAAATATTGAATCCCAACACCGATGGCATGTATTTCAATACTTGGAGTATGTATTATACATATATCTGAGATTAATCAGTGGACATTTCGGTAATACTGTACAATAAATGTTTGTGGGAATTATATTTGATGGTGTTTGGAAAAAAAAGTAAAACAATTGAAAAGCATCAGAGTAGGCCTACCTGCTGCTACTTAGAAATTGGACTCTCGCAAGTTTTCTTTATCATGTACTGATTATCTAGTACGTATTGGTGTTAAAATTTAAAAAAATATATAGCATTGCAGTACTTGCTATTTGGAAATCTGATTTAACACTAGAAACTAAGTGCAAGCTCAGTTGTTCAATTCCTACCCAAATGACTTTATTTGCAATTATTATGGAACATATTGAGCATTATGATGCCAAATAAACACAAAAAATACCATTGAACGGCTTTACAGTACATATTAGTACATGAAAATCGGATTTACACACCAGATAACTAGCCTGGTGTCTTATCCACCAGAACACTGACCTTGCGCTTAACCAAATCAGTATTTGTGAAAGTTACTGAGCATACAAAAACAATATCTGTATTTTTTTTTTTTTTTTTTTGCAGACGATAGACAAATCTCTCTTCAAGATAACAAGTAATTTTTGATGTACATCAAAGATTTAATAATACTGTAAGTATTAAGTGAAATATAAGGCCCGTAGCCAGGGGATTTTTTAATGGTTCTGGAGAACACTCTTTTCTGGCAAACTCCTCCACCTTCCTCAAATTTCCCAAACATGTACTACAAACAAACTAATGCACTGCAGACCCGCCCACTGGGACTCGGATTTTTTCAAGCATCTGCTTTTATAATTTTATATATTTAGACCCATAAAGCACAGAAATCCTCTGGCTTTGTGGGGGTTTTGCCGACCCCACCTGGGCTTCGAGCCTGGACTCCACGCCAAGAGAACCCTCCTTCGAAGAACCTGGCTACGGGCCTGAACATGCTGAAGCTTATGAAATTATATTAGCTTTATTATTACTTTCAATTTTTATTTTAATTCTGTTTGTGTCTAATTTAAAAAAAAGATTATATATTTTTTTTCTTTTTTGGTAGATGTGGCAACAGAGGTGCAGGATAGGAAATGTACGGCTGCAGAGCAAGACAAGGAAGAGAAACCTACTATAATTAATTTTGTTTCATATAGGCAATTTAACTTTTAGTTAATTAAATTTGTGATGCCTAATAGAATACAGCGATCCTGGTAAAAGCGAACATACAGCAGTTGTACAGTATTACTTATGAAATTATTGCAGCATCAAGGCAACAATTGCTTCATTCTGAAAAAAAACTGAGTATATTGTACAGAAGATATGAACTGGCTAATTACAATATGACTAGAGAACCAGAAACCTACTATAATTTATTATTATCTATTATATAAGCCTATATAATGAATTGGTGATGCCTAATAATTTACACATGTGATTTTGGTTATGGAAATAAAAAATATAAGTAGTGTGTTGTGTGTTTGCTGTTGAAGTTTGAAGACTGTTGGATCAGGTAAGTTATTGCAGCATCAAGACAATTGCTTCATTCTGAAAACTGATTATATTGTACAGAAGATATGAACTGGCTAATTACAATCAGACAAGAGGACCAGAAAGCTAATATAATTAATATTTCATATAATTTTCATTATGCAATTTTGGTCATTAAGATAATACATATAACCAGTGTTCTGATGTTTCTTTGCTGTTCAAGTTGTGAAGGCCAGTGGATGCAGGTAAGATGAAAAAAGCGCCCTCCAATAGAAAAAGGCTATATTTTTCCCATGTTCCTCAATTTCTATTAAAAGCGGTGCTGAACGGTGCCCTCCAATAGAAAGCCAAAATTTCCAGGGTCTCTAAAATTACTAGTCAGACTCAGGAGGGAAAACATTTTTTTCATGTTATAAAACTCAATTTTTGTAAGATTTTTTTTTGACTAAAAACTGGGCGAAGGGTGTAAAAATTGTACAAATCAAAAAATGTTTTCCCTCCGGAGTCTAACTTTCATAAAGGGGGCCCACTGTGGTGCTGAAAACTGCCCTTTATAGCCATTTTATTTCAACGTTTTTAAGTGATCTCTTAGTTGCCATTAATTCTATTAATAGGGTGGTAGAGTGTGCCCTCTAATGGCCATTTTTTTTGCAATTGTGAAAAAATTGGATGTTGGAGGGTGCTGCTTTGCCATTGACAATTAAGAGATCCTAAAAAACTTTGGAATAAAAAGGCTATTTAGGGCGGTTTTCTTCACTATTTTTATCAGAACCGGACAGATTATTGTGGCCAAATAACTTAGTCATATTTTGGGCCTTTTTCTATTCGAGGGCGCTTTTTTTTTTTTAACCATCCTGCTCATTCAATACTCGAGAAGAAAAAAACCAATACTATGCTGAATACAATTAATATTTATTTATTCAATATTATTACAATAAATTATTCAATACTAAGCTGAATACAATTATTTATTCAATATAATAAATTTTTCAATACTAGGCTGAATACAATATTTATTCAATGTACAAATACTAACTACAATGAATATTTATTTCAAATATATATCCAGAATTTAAAGCTTCAACTACCAGATCACCAGTTGCCATAACCTAAAAGAATAAGTCATTGAACAAACAGTAAGAAATAAAAATGCAAAGTAATATGACAATATCCAATAAAAAGGAAAAATTTTAAAGTCAATTTTTAAAAATCAAACATTTATGCAAAGTAATACAATAATATAAAGTCTGATGGAAAGAGAAAATAAGTTATAAAGTCCAATGGAAAGGGAAAATTTTTAAAGTTATTATTCATAATTTAAACAAGACATTTATGATTTCAAGCCACAACAAAAAATTAACAATTAGACAAACTGAAGCATTAAAATAATATAATTAGTTTACATAACCTTTTTGTCAAATTTGGAGAGAAATTAGGCCAAAATTAATTTCAATCATATGTTACTAAGTGACCTGGGGTGATCATTCAATTTGGAATTATTATTATAAGCATAAGTCTCCAGGGAATTTAAATAATTTCAGAAATAAATATAAAATCTGTGGTACTTTTGGGTAAAGGTTCTCACAAGCAAGTCAATTTTTAAAAAGCAAACATTTATGCAAAGTAATACAATAATATATAAAGTCCAATGGAAAGGGAAAATATTTAAAGTTATTCATAATTTAAATAAGACATGATTTCAAGCCACAACAAAAAATTAACAATTAGACAAACTGAAGCATTAAAATAATATAATTAGTTTACATAACCTTTTTGTCAAATTTGGAGAGAAATTAGGCCAAAATTAATTTCAATCATAATATGTTACTAAGTGACCTGGGGTGATCATTCAATTTGGAATTATTATTATAAGTCTCCAGGGAATTTAAATAATTTCAGAAATGAATACCAAATTTAAAATCTGTGGTACTTTTGGGTAAAGGTTCTCACAAGCACTTATTTATCCAACAAAGCAATTTAAAAAGGACATGAAATTCATAATAAGAACATTCACAAAGTTTTTTTTCTAGCACACTCACCATTCAGTAGTGGCAGCAAGATTAGTCATTCAGCCAGCAGGGTAGGTTCACTTGTTGCACAGGAGGTGCCATGTCCAAGTTTCTTCAGAATTTCTACAATATTGAATAAATTGCATTCATTAAATTTAGGATAAGGAAATACAAATGCATCATAAATATCCAAATGTTCAATTATTCATTCATTTAATATTATAATTTAATTTTTAGTTTCATGACATATTAATCATAACATAATTTAATATTAAGGTCAACTCAGACAGCGTCAGCCGACGCAGTCTGACTCGATTTATCGATGGGAACAGTCTTAAGCCGTTGTGAGAAATATTAAACATGTTTAATATTCCACGACGCAACTGCCCTGATACAAATCATTGCATCGGGCTTCTTTGTTTGACGCTGTCTGAGTTAGCCTTTACATGCAGAATGATACTTAGCATATATTTTATATTCATATAATTTACTTAATATTAGTTACTATGCTTAAGTTATAAAAATCAGAATCGCTTTCAATAAGTTTCAAAAATTATATTTCGTTAATGTCAAAACTACTGTACCAATGAGAATATGTCATGTTTTATATTTATATGTCCGATGAAGAATCTAAAATCGAGGTAAGGCAGTCCTTACTTTATTGTAAGATTAAATGTAGCAAATTCATCCATGTTTATTTTTTGCAGACAGACACACACACACAAATCAAATTTAAGAAGGCACATTTTCCATTTTTTGATGTTTAGACAATTACTCAATTCAGAATACTAGAAATTCAGAATACTAGAAATATCATTATATTATAAATATTTCTCGCATCAAAATCAAATGTTTCGTTTACTAAGGTGGTGGAACAAGTCTTTTCGGATAAGGACAATAAACCGTAGGCCCAGTGTACACAAATGCTCATGTGCACTTTAAAGAACCCAGTACATTTTTCGAGATGAGTAGGGGGTTACCCCGGTGTACTGGTTCACTCGGCCCATCGTGGACAGATGAAAGTGCGCCAGTTTACTGGCTGCGGTGGACATTAAGTGACCCTCAGTGAAGGAGAAAGTTATTGAAAAGTGCAACATCTAGTCCTGAGCGCATAGAGACCTCGTTTATCTGCGCTATATAAATCCATCTATTTTTATTATTAAGGACTGGGGGGGGTAACTGACCACTGCAACAAATTGGTTTTGTAACAAGTCCTGCATTCCATGCACCCATGAAAACCAAGATTACAAGTCTTGAAATGCTTTGATCCAGTGTTCAGCCAAAACAGAGTATCACTAATTGCCACCAAGTTGTGATTTTGAAAAGGTATTCGAGATGAAGTTGTGAATATCATATTTTGTGAGCAATATTTAGGTATGTGACTATCGGCCATTAAGCGCAATATTATGGCACCGCTTTTACTTTCTGGCAGCAACTCGACTGTCTGCACAGCCCTCTATTGTTTTGGCTGCAGAGGTCGTATTTATTTTTTCTCTATGTCCCGAAAAAATTGATGACGAAGTTCACATTTTCCTCTCTCACCTTGTCATCAAATCAATTTTTTCTGACTTTGCGAAATGAGAGAATTTATTGCTGAAAGCTTTGTTTGTCAAAAACATGCAATTATTTCAGAGATAAGTTTATATTTTTCTGAAACCGGGCTATTCCACAGTAACTGACGTTACATTTCATCCTATATTCACATTTTTACTCTAACAAAAATATGAGAGACCAAATTATATTTTTAATGCTACATGGTAGTAATAATGGAGTGGAATACAGGAATATCAATTTAAACTTTTTACCATTTGTGATACAGATTTAGCAGAGGATATGAATTAAGTAACAAAAACTAGGAATTAAAACAAATTTTGATATCTCATGTCCGAGATACAAACAAAATTTGAGTTGTATGCTATGAAATACTGCATTAGTATACTAGAATTAGACGGTTAATGATTACAAATTTATTACATTTTTTGTGAGATATTAACATTATATAATGGCCGGTTGGTAACTGACGTTACGCTTATTGTTAATGTTGAATTATGTAGAAACGCAATTTGGATGTTTTTGGGAGATAATTATAATGTAAATTTATGAATTCTATGCTTAAATAAGGTATTCATTCAAATAAACATTTATTTCTTCATAACCAAAAGTACAATATAAACAATTTTAAGGATGAGAATAAAAAATAGTTGAAGAGAGCATAGCCAAAAAAGCAAGTGCTTATGTGAGGCAAGCCCGAAAACAAGTAAAAATTCAATAAGTTAAAATAATACGAATAAATAATTAAGCTCTAAACAATAACAGGACACAGAAGACGGGTTTACAAGCAGAAAAGGACAAAAAAGAGACAAAAACGACAAAACTGATTGTCTACAGAGGATGAAAATTTATTTGGGTTTTAATTTTTTATAACTAGAAATTAAGTGATTCTTAAGATTTAAGGAAAAGCTTTTCTTCGATTCACAGTTTTTTATGTGGTCATTTAGATTGTACCATAGTTTGGGTCCACTAAATCTAATATTATGCAGAAAAGAAGTCTTTTTATGCTGGGGAATATGCAAACCAAGTGCAGATCTAGTACGGTAGGAGTGGTAATATGAGTTTCGGTGGAATAAGCTACAGAATTGAGGGGGGTATATGGATTTAGTTGAAGAATAAAGAAAACTGCATTGTTGAAGTACATTTATGTCTTTAAGTTTGAGTAAGTTGAGGGACGTAAATAACAGGTCAGTGTGAGCTGGTGGTGAAGCGCCTGCTATTATGCGTACTGCTTTTTTTTGTTTAATTAAAAGACTGGTAAGATTTGATTGATGAAGTATTGCACCAAACTATATTGCAATAACTCAAGTAGGGAAGGACAAGGCTACAGTACAGAGTGCGGAGGATATTAAGTGGGATATAAGAAGAAAGTCTAAAATGATACCAATGTTCTTGGAAATCTTAATTTCAAGTTCTTTGA